CGTGTGATTACACCACCTTGTGTAATCCACACCCATGTACGCTAACACCATCTTGTGCGACCCGCCCTTTCATACAAGGGTACGTGTAACCCCGTTACAATTCAGCTTAGAACCAAGTACCGAAATTGGATCAAAAACTGACGTCAATTGTGCGTTGAGCAGCATCGTCCTACCGCTTACCCAAAAAGAGTGAGGCATAAAATATGTTGCATCATAAGCATAAATAACGCCACGGAAATCTTGCTGGATTGAGACTTTGGTCACGGTACCTAATTCCGATTGATTACCTAGTGAAAGCACCGACCTTTACCTAGGTAGGTCCTTTTCGACAGGGACAAGCCTATCATGGATGGCATTACTGGGCTTTTAGAATCGACGATTCGTGTTGACTCGCCTAAAAGTTGCTACGCGCGTTAAAAGTTTATATATGGAGGCGCACAGCTAAATCGATAATTTCGAGGTACTTAAACAGCGGTCGAAACCGAACCGCTGCGTAAACATCAAAGATAGCTTAACTTCAGCAGTAGATGAAGGCCTTGTTTCGTACTCAAGAGTAAAGCTCGCGTCAGATGGCTCAGCAGAGCGGGATCACGATGCAGCCTGGATGAACCTAAAAAGCACGGGATATGTTCGCATCCCCTCAGAGGTATCAAGAAGTTAGCTATAGCTCTTATTAGTTACGACTATCCTGTGTTATGAGGGCGCAATTTCTTCCTCAAGACTGCAGATGATGCATATGTAGGTTAAGAGTTTATAATACTACCTTTCACCTGTTACAACTTCAAGTATCGTTCGCCAACCTCCGACGTGATCATGTTAGCTTTTGCGAATTATGGCTCACAGCATCGCATACTCGACGTGCGACGCTTAGTCTAATCAAGACGAGATACACGATCTTACTTAGACGTACGTGATATCAGCGGGTTGAATCATATCAATGACCCCTTCCCCAACAAGATTGGATCCGTAACGTGGTGGTGTCATGGGGAACCAAACACATTATACAAGTTAAGGTGACGCCTTTATAGACGTGCACTGCGTTGTTTGTCGCATAGTAAATGATTCAACGCCCCAGACGTGCTTGGAATATGTTCCACACTGCGGAACATACGCGTTTTGTCTGACCATTTGTGTGTGGGTGGGAATGTTCAATCTGGTGCCACGCATCCCAATCAAAATTCTCCAAAATTTTGCGATATTGCAGTTGCCACAAATTGTTGAAAGACTTTGCATACAAATCGATTGGCGTTACTGACAGCACCGAGAGACATTTTGCTCGATCAATGTACTCAGACGACAATGCCGGTATTACCAGAATCCTGCGCTGCATTTACGCTTAAGTGGCAGTCACCAACATTTTCTCAGTCACAGGCATTTACTTCGTCAATGATAAAATTTCCTTTGTGTACTTATTTCTCATTTTGAGAAGCTTACCACCCTTGCACTCGGGTCTTTTCGAACAAATTAACAAAACGTCAGCATGCACTCCACTGCTCAATCATTATGCAGTGCATTGGAGCTGCCAATATATAAAGTAGCATTTACTCTTATCTGAATCTTAGTTGAAAGCTGTGAAGTTTCTTAAAAAAAACTCATCGCATCAAAGCTAAATGTAGTTGATGGACTATAAGCATGATCTAGTTCTTTGACGTTTTGCTGCAAGTATTGTTTTTACAACGTTTAAGAGCCAGCAGCAGCGGAAGGGATATGATCACTATTCTTGATGTATCTCTTGTGGTCTTTTGCATGTTGGATGAAAGCTTGCCACGCGACACTATGTTTTAGCAACGTCGAATTACCGACGACCCACAAACTGCTCTTAGCGCGAGTGATAGCAACATTCATCCGTCGCTCGTCTGCCCAAAAAGCATCAAGGGCTTCCTTCACTTCTTTTCCATGACGACGCCGTTTTTTTTTTCTAAGGCCACCGTGGCATGTACGAACACAAGAATAAATGACAATCTCTTTCTCGCGACCTTGGAAGCCGTCCACTGTGTTCACCTCTACACTAAGCCGGCAACTGAATTCTGCCTCCAACTTCTTCATTTCCTCACGAACTTCGACGATTTGCTGCTTGTAAGGAGCGATGACACCGATGCGCTTATTCCAGTCAGTGCAAGGGAATCGAATGATAAGGCGTCGAATGATCTGAATAATGGCTTCAACCTCGCTCATGTTACGCAATGAAGTGGACCCACTGACCTGACTCTGAACTCCTTGCACATCATAAAACAGCAATGGCTTGAAGGTAGAATCGGCATGGTAGTCCTGCGTAGTCCATTCGGACACTTTTTCATCCTGTACAAGCTGCCCGTTGTAAAAATAGGTCGACGGAAATTTGGCGATCTCAGGATGCATTCGATACTGCTGAGTCAACAGCAGTACCGGCGAGCCGTTCTCGACCAGTCTCTGCTGCAAACTACGATCGTAGCCCATTGCCACGAGCTTTTGAGAGATAACCGTGGCTGGAAGTTGTCGATGATCGCCAACCAGAACAACTCGTTGCGGTCTGAACTTGAAAGGAATAAGTGCGCTGGCTTCTACAGCCTGAGCAGCTTCATCAATGATTAGTGCATCAAAGTTCTGTTTGAACTCACACATCGCCACGGATCCCGCACCGCTCAGTGTGCAAAACACAATCTGTGCGTTCTTAATAATCGCTTGGCGCGCCTCCTTCATGGTTGAAAAAGCGCTGCGATGTGCTGATACCAAATTTTCTAGTAAGACTTTTTCCACCCCGCAAGCGTACTTTTTGATTTTTGTGCGATTCTTCTCGCTCCCACCTATTTCTCGAGCCGCGTCTAAACCCGAAAGTTGTTGACTGCATTCTGGTCGACCGACGCGCACGATACGTGGACGGTAAAAGGAACCCTTTTCACCGTCATACAAACCTTCACTTAGCACCCGTAAAACGAGTTCATCGACGGCAGCATTACTAGGTGCAGCCACAAGAACACGAATAACAGTTTCATCTGCTGATTTCGACACCACTGTGGGTGTTTTTTTTAACGACGCTCCCGCGCGAATTCGAGAAGTGCCCTTTGCTTTACGTAGCGAAGATATACCAGCACCATCTAGCAGAGCAGAAAGAAGGCCCAAAATTGTTTTGCTTTTACCTGTACCTGGCTGTTCTCAGAAAGACAATGTTAATATTTTTTTTTCCAACGTTTAACGAAAAACCTACCGGTCCTTGAATAATCACCCTCTTGTCTTCCCCCAAGCACCCAAGAATGGCCCGCACTTGTGAGTAATTATAGTGCTCATTCAGGTGTTTCAGCATGCATGGCAAAAGCATCGAAGCCATTGCAACATTCTTCTCATCCGCGTTAGAGACAGACGATAAATTTCCGCTTACTAAAACTTGCTTTAGATCGTTGGACAAATACGATACTGCCTTAATTGCCTGGAACTCGCGAGCACTTGTGGTCGTATTGTGTACTTGCTGCAAAGACCATCGCCAGTTAGAACCACGCTGATTTAAGAGACATCTTTTTATTAGCAAATTGAAACTCTCCATGCCATCATTTTGACCATTTCTTTGAACGCGAATGAGAACACAAATCTGATCACTCTCTCTTGATAATTCACTCTTGCCCCTAGAAACTCCAACTGCGACCACAGAGTCGCACAGGACAACACCAAAACTTCGAATTTGGTGATGTTTCCAGCGAGGCGAGCGCAGAATTACCAAATCTCCAATCACAAAATTAGAACCAGCAGAATTTTTAAACGTAAGGATGTACTCGTTACCGGATGCGTTTCCACAAAAACCACTCTCAGTGAAAATTGCTCCTAAAGTCAGCCCAGCTGATAAGGCAGACATCCCTTGTTCTCCACATGGTGTCACAGATGCGAGAGACAAATGCCGAATTGGATAAAAACTTTCATTAACTCCTGCAGTCATTGAAGTACTAACCGATGCTGCCATTTCTTCTAAAATTGCCCCATGCTGTGCGTTACAATAGTCCTCAATGCTTGTGTATCGAGAAGGGAGTTTCCCACTGGCATATTGGGAGAGATGGATATTGGTATTCTCGGACCGAACGTCATAATTTGCTGACATCCTCAGCAAAAAATCGTAAAATTCGTTTAGCGCTGGCCAAAGCAAAGAGCATTTCCCCTTTTCAACTTTCTTCGAGAGATTTGAAGAAAATCCTGTGCTCTTATAATTTTCTTTTTGTGTTGAAATCAAAGGCGACGTCAAGGTTGCGATTGATGTTGACGTCTTTGATGCTGGAAAGATTGTTTCACTTTTAATTTCAACTTTATTAGTTTCAGATGACGGCATTCGGTGCTTTCGGCCAGGGTCACTTCTAATAGCTTCCAAAGCAGCCTCTAGGACGTTCGAGCTGGACGTGTCATCGCTTTCGCCTTCTTCAACGTCCGTACTAGATGCGGATGATGATGAAAGGGAGGTAGCGTCTTGTCGTTTGAAAATTTGGCCGCCCGCAGCTTTCTCTCCATCTTCACAAGCAATTTCGGCCTTTAAATCTTTTGTGCTCGAAATAATTTTTCGCTTGATATTTGCTGGCGCATTTGTCGATGCTTCGCAAAGTAACACTTTTGGAGCGGGATGACTAAACGATGACTGTGTTATAGCCACCTCTTCATCAATTTGAGCAATAATAAATGTGTGATTCTCTGAGCCATACTCTTCTTCACAAGCAACCATCTGTATTTCGTGATTAGATTGAAATTCTGCACAAATTTCTCGGTTGAACGTCATGGTTCCCGAAATCATATCCTCTGTGTCCGCATCTTGATCAGTATGCTCATCTTTCTCGATTACTTGCCTTTTGCAATTAACTTGGATTGGATCTCCATCACTTCCATCCTTGGCAAATATTATGCGGTTTTCAGGCTGAATATTCGATTCACGACGTTCCACTGAAGGTGCTTGTTGTATATTGTCAATTTCTTGTTTACAGTCATGTTCATGCTTAATTTGAATATCCAAAGAAGGGCCAGACAAATTTGTCGATGGTAGTTCGCAAAATTCGACTTTAAGCAGATCAGTCCCTTTGCATGTGTTGTGATCTGGATCAGCAAGAGGCATTTCTATTGTGCCACCTTTATAAGGGCCGTCACTGAAAGTTTTTTTCTCGGATGTATCGACATCCCGATGTATATCTCGATAAGTTTTACCCTGTGTTTCTATATTGTTGCTTTGTGTTTCGGCGGAGTGCAGAATCGTTCCACATCTCGATTTTTGATCATTTTTCCTTGCGGACACTTCGATTTTTATATCCTGGTCACTGTGACACCTGGTCGATGGAAGGACCGCAGAGACCAAAGCAGAATTTCTAGATACCTGCAAGATCTCATTTGTCGGGCTGTGGATCGTTGATTGGTCGAGAAGATCTAGCTTATCGCACTTTTTAATTGAATACTCTGGTATCCTTACTGCAGTTTGAAGAAGCTCGTTAGACCGCCTAAGATAATCGTTTTCGCGTCTTAAGCGATCCATCTCTTCCAGCACCCCAAGCACTCCATCGCCATTAAGCATTTTATCCACAACTGCAACCGACCTATGTTGGTAAGAAGTATTTTCGAATTGACTCGGCTGCTTTTCTATCTGCGGTTCGGTACCTATGATAGAAGCGGGATAAGTCGTAGCTTCAGACGCCTGAAAGCTGTTTGGAGCTACAGCAATAGAATCTGTGGCCGCCACATTTTTACTGCTAGAATGTATTTTTGGAGGCGATGCAAGCTTCTGCTCCACCTCGTCAAGCACCATAGCAAACATAAAATCTTCTTCCGTATCATCAGAAATAAAGGTTTTATTAACCAGCTTTGCCGATTGTACGGCTGCACAAAGGCTTGAAGCGGGAACAGCACATGACAAATTTGCTTCTGAATTCGCAAAATGATAATTTGTTTCATCAGAATTTGTGACCGTTGCTGTCGATTCTACCTTAATTACCGAGTTGTAAAGTGTGCTATGTGACTGCACAGCAATACTCGAGTCGATATTTGCAGACGTGTTCATAATTACAGCACGATCAGGATTTGTCTTACTAACAGCAGGATTAAGTGCACCGATTGAAGCTGGTGACCTAGCAACAGGTTTCGTATCACGTTGAAGCGTCAGAACACGATACTCAACTCTGTCTTTCTGCTCCTGTTCCAGCTGCGCTTTCACCTCGGCAAGAGTTAATTTTGCCGCGGTATTCCTTGTTCTCTTTGATGGTGTCTTTCTTTTATCCACCATTGGCTTTCTAGTCAATAACTTAGTTGCGGTCACCGTCTTTTTCGCGGCCACCTTCTTTTTCGCGGCCACCTTCTTCCCATTTGTCGTTGCGATCTTCGCGACCGTTTTTCGAGAAGATAAATTTCTCGCATCATTAGTTTTAATTTTTTGCGTCAGATCTTCAACTACATTAATATCTGCAACACTTGCGTCATTCAAGTCTGAGGAAGCAAGACGTTTCTTGAACTCGCGCATACCAACTTCCATGCTTACAAATTCGCTCTTCTCACGAGCTGTTCTATGTGGTCTCTTCAGTAATGCAAATGTGGCCGCTGTCTTGCGTCTCTTGATTCCGCTGGCATCTGCATCCATGCCAGTGCGGACAGGATGAAATGCACGAAGTTGCACACGACAAAACGCAGCTATGGTTGGTTAAAAAAGAATCTTGGCGTGGCAGACATTTAAGCGTGCTTCGTTAAGCCCGCTTAAATTTTGCTTCATGCATTTTAGAAAATAGAGTTTCCGCCACCAGTCGTAGCTTTCCCAGAATCTGAGCGAGGTAAAATGTCCGAGGTTGAGAAGAAGGAAGAGACTACGCCGAAGGTGGAGACTGAAGTCGCTAAAGACCCAGAGTCTGAGGAGCCACAGGCGTACTTTGAACCCGTGGTGAAGCTTGATGAGGTGGAGGTGACCACCGGTGAGGAGGAAGAAGAAGTTATATACAAACAGTAAGTTGACGTTTTACCAACACCTTATGTCTTACGTCTTATCGAAAGTATCATGCATATGCTAGACGCGCTAAGGCGTTTTGCTACCGCGAATCGCTTCTCGACAAGGGAACAGGGAAAAAGACATGGTGCGAACGTGGCGTCGGTGATGTGCGCTTCTTAAAACACAAGGAGCACCAGAAGGTGCGCATGCTAATGCGTCAGGAGAAAACGCACAAAATTTTGGTGAATCACTTGGTGGAGTCTCGCACAGAATTGACACCGAACATGGGCAGCGACCGCGCTTGGGTCTTTAGTTGCTATGATTTTGCTGAGGGAGTTGTGGAAGCACAAGTCTTTGCCCTGCGCTTCGGCAACGCCGAGAATGCTCAAAAGTTTAAGGAGGCGCACGATGCTGCTAAGGCAAATAACAAAAAGCTTGAGGAGGGTGCTGATGCCTCCGACACTTCCGCTGGAGATGACGCTGCAAAAGCGCTTGAAACGCTAGACGTCAAGAAGGAGGAATAAAGTTAAGGCACCAAATACCGCTGTGAACACTTTATCGTTGAGAAATGACGCAAATATACGCTAATCAGGCTTTAACAGGTACGAGCAGGATCGAAGACGTGTTATCAGTATGGTGAAGATGTATGGGCAGATTGGCGATGATCCTTTGACTCTTGTCGAAGTTCTTTCATTCCTACTTTTATAAAAATCATATACCTCGTGTTTTCGCGTTTAGGCTGTCTTAGATTATGAATACTCTGGTAATGTTTTCAGTGTGGGGCTCAGCTGGTAAAAGGCGGTCAACAGAGCTGTCCTGAACGATCAGTATGTCATTGCCAATAACCGTTATAGGCGACGTTGACCGATTGTAGATGATTACGCCGATGAAGATGAAAACAAAGCCGACAAAGTAAAGACCACTAAGCTCCTCGTCGAAAAGATACTTAGCGGCTACGACTGCAAAAAAGTCGGACGTCAGCAATGACAAGTTAAAGACTGCAGCGTCGCCTGTGGTCAGAAAAATCTTCGCGTTGTCGTCAGAAGTTCAACCTCATGTATTGCAAGTTGGTTCTGTGCGTACCGATGCCGCAGAATACATAATAAAGAGTGTACCGATGTATCCGAGCAGACAGAGTGCACTGGACCAAGTCCTAGTTGAACCGTTAAAACAAACAGCAAGTCTCTCAAATTACTGTATAAGATAATCATACCAATCGACTGCGCGAATAACGTCCCCTTCAAAATACGCCGCTTGCATCGAGCTGATCGAGAAGCCAAAAAGGCCCACAAAGCCAAGGAACTCTATCTGCAAGCCGTCAAATCCGCCAATTTAGCAAGGTAATTCGTGCATTATAGCTAGCTACTCACTCGTCGATTTTCCTTTTTGACAAGATATTCCTGCCCGACATTGGAGCAGGCATAGACAGCACTACCGAGTAAACAGAGGAAGTCCCCGTACAATGTGGAAACATTCCAAGATGTCGTCTCTTCCTCTTGTAATGAGTCCGATATAACCAACACGATGATGCCCACGAGACAGAATAACACAGCCACATAGTGCGAACGCTTATACTTGGCTTGCAAAAACGCCGTCGACAGTAGCATCACGATCGGGATTGTAAAACAATCTAATAGCATCACACTGGATATAGACGTGTATTTGTACGCACAGACCACTAAAAAGTTTCCTTCGACATCAGCAAACGCCAGTAATAGATACTGCCACCAGGGTATTGCCAGCTGGTAGTCTTGCTGGAATCGAAACCTTAATATGGGATCCACCAAATACACACATAACAACAAATAGTTGCCTGCGCTTTGTGTCACTGGAATTTGAATCTGTATCGCAGGTGTGTATTTGAGTTTTACCACCAAAACACGCTTTCATACTTCATTGTAAATGCAAACCTGAAATGACCTGTTCAATAGCTGAGAGAACACACCAGTGCATGCAATCAGCAATGAAATGAACTGGCCGAGAATTAGCATTCGATTTTTGGCATACATTTTCGAGCATGAATAGTTTTCATCGTCGCCATTCCTTGTCATTGCGAATAAATGAGTGTACCTGCTTTGTGATAAAGGTGTAAGGGCATGATTTTAATAAATATCAGTACATTTAAAGTATGGTCCTCAATCTTCTATCACTATTTACGATCGACCGTCGGTTTTATCTATCAGCTCTAGCTGATGCGTTTGTCCTTCGTAAGATATTCCTGCTCGTCAGTCGAAAACAGGTTGGACAAATAGTGCTTGAAGCTTAAAACAGTCATTTGTCGATTGCGAGATATAGATCGCGCCATGTTGCACAGTTTTATTGATAAATCTAGATCGATCGGTAGCTTGTGTCAGTATCATACTGCCATATTTACCACCTCTTCGTGGAAACAGTTGTGCCTATTCAGAAAGCTAGCTTTTCGTGTTTTCGACTCTCATTTACTTACATTTCACTGACTGTAAGGTTGCAATTAAATACCTTGAATTTTTCCGTTAGCAAAATAAGCTCTACATTTTAATAAAAATGTGCTATCCACTTCCCTGCTTCAGCTAGTTACATCATTCTAAAATTTGTGATATGGCTCCTCGATCTTTTTAGCCATCTTGTCGTACAGCGAGCAATTACCTGCCTGCTTTTCGGCCATGAGTTTGTTGATCATGGGCTTCCATTTACGACCGCGTGTGTTGATAAACCAGTTGTTCACTTGCTCCAACGTAATGCCTCCTTCCTGTGCAAGTGACTCCTTCTCCTCCTCGGTTGGGTACGGATGGTGCAGGTTGTGCTCAAACCAATCGTGCATCAACTTTTTTGATAATTTAGACAGACTCGAGCGTTTCTTGGGCAGATTATTTCGAGCTGCAAGCTCCATAGCGTATGGAGAAATTTGTGAGAGTGACAAAGTGAGTGAAGGCAGAGTATTAGCTCCTGCCTCGCTGTTTGTCGGTTGTTGTTTTAGCTCTTTCTGCTGCTGTTCCTGCTGCGCCATTCTCCTCTCGCCCCACTCATGCAAGTGGTGAGCTGTTTGCTCGTAACGAGCCTTGATGATGGGATCATCTGCTTGCGCAGCCACATCAGCCATGCTCTGGAGAGCCACAGCCTCCATGTACTGCGATGTGCTAGTCTCTGCATCACTTAAGCTCTTCTTACTCTCGCTTGGCGAGTTAGGTGGCATGCGCTCGACAACCTCAACGAGTGGATCAATTGCATTTGACTGAATCGATGACGCCGGATACCTTGCAAGCTTAAGTATATCCTGGAATTTTTCGTTTGCCTGGAAGGTCTGATCATCCAGTAACCGGTTGCGGCCATGTTTCATTCGTACCAAGCTATCTTTTTTGGAAAGTATTGACTGGGGCACTTCAGATTCACACTGACTTGGCGACAGCACCGCTAGCATCGACTTTAAGTCCTGTTGTAGAATTTCTGAGCTGACTGAGGCTTTATCTTGTCGTTTTTGTGGCTTCTTACACTTTGTTGAGCTTGCAGATGTCGCAACACACTTATGATCTCGCCGCTGTTGGCCTGGCACGTAGTTAGTGCGATTTGGGAACGTCATAGTGGACGAGCAGGTAAATTTTCGAGTGAAATCGACAGCTTGAGATATATTTTGTTTAAATCAATCTAGTCGACTTGAAGTCTGCAAGAAAAACCATAGAGTCGATGGGAAGTGACTACATTCTGATGCATACAATCTCTTGGTAACAACACTGGCAGCAAAAAGTTTACAGACTCATTTTGAGAAACGCTCTTTTTGTTGTATTATAAGTATATTGGTGATTATTCGGGTCTTCGCACTTGTAATGCTTTCTCGCTTGGGATACGTTCTGTTGCTTCCACATATAATCGCATTGCTCCATCTACACTCTAATTGTGTTATAGGCTACGCTCAATTAAAATACCTCTGAATAAAACGCACTCGATTCAGATGTGTCATACAGTTGCAGCATACACAGTCGCTTTAGTTCTGCTGCTCCTTTAAATAATGCATTTTATCCCCGATAAGGAGATAAAGGTGGACTTTGCGCCGTATGTAGTATTCTCGAAAAGATGCCAACGAGACTGTAACCACCCAGAAATATTCAATCAGATCTCCAACTAAACTCATACAAGTCTTTAACATAAAATTTGCATGAGCTTTGAAATCCTTGTTCGTGGAGCTTGCGACGTCTACATTAAAAGCATCAGCCTCGTTGCATACTTTTGAAGGAAATGATTTACATCGCCCTTCTGAGACCATGTTTTTTATTTTCTAAGAAAGGATGACCACAAGACAAAGATCTTGTCAGATTGGCTTCTTATCTATACGAAAATCATTATTGTTATCCTGTGTCTATGCGGCGCTCAAAAGCGGTAGCCACGTGGCATGCACTGAAAAGTTTTGAGGCCAGTATAGCTTCAACGTTGATTTAGTCAATTTGGAATTATTATGATTAGTTGCTTGAGCACACCACTAGATGTTTTGGCAACATCCCAATCGCTTAAAAGCTTTCAGGAACAAAGGGCGCTGTACACAAATTATCAACTGATCGATGTCGTCTCAGCAACCTACATTTGTGCCATTGGCGAAATGTCAGCTTTGAGCATTTAAGCAACATGAATCTAACCTTTAATGATTCCAAGTTACAGCAAAGTTCTACTGGTACTTACAATGCGATGAGAATGCGCACGATTATACGATTACAAAGCGAGTTGAGCAGTCAATAAAATGAACAAGATGCAGTACTCAAATCGTTGTTGCGAGCTCAGCACCCCCACGCCCAGACACAGTAAAGATCCAAAATGGCGACAAGCAATTTTCTGTGTCTTGGCAGAGTACTGTCAAAGAACTCCTTCACCTAGCGTAAATCTCATGAATATAAGTCTGAATACAAATGATCTTAGCTTCATAAATGAGCACGTTCATTTATAGCGTTGGTGCCGGTGACAAGACTGCGAGTATAGCGACAGTTAAAATAGCTACTGACTATCGAGACGATGGTATTGTATTTTGCTTGTTTGCAGTTTTATTACCTCGTCATATTCATTTCTCAAGTAATAATCAAATCGAAGAATGATCATTCTGATTGTGGTGCTACTGCTTTTTGCTGGGGTGGTGGCAGGATTTGTTAGCAAATTTCGGATAATTGACCGATTACCCGCAAAGAAAGACCATCTCGAAAACGAAGATGGGGAAGGAGACGGTGTCGAGGTTGTCGTTCAAAAATCTGGAATTGATAGCCGTCTCAAGCTAGCGCTGCCTGATCTCTCCTTGATTCATAGTGGCTCTCCTATTGGCCCCATAAAGTCCTCAATTCGCTGTGCTCTGAAGGAACTTCGCTCCCGGCAGATGGTTCAAAGTCTCTGCAGCAGATTTGAATCGCGCTTGATGAAACCTAAGAATCGTGACGCTAGTATTGAGGACCTGGCACGAAAATCGACAGCTGCGTCGACGCCACCGACAAAAGCATGTCGAAGGGGTGAACGAACTGCATCTGTTGTCCCCGTTTCACTAGCAAATAAAGTTAGTGAAGCGGAGATTATTGCAGGTGCTCGTTCAAACAATCTGAAAAAGTTTTTACGTAGCTACACATCGAACTTAGAAAATATGACCTCTACAGATCGAGGTCTATTCGCAAAATCTAGCTCAAGTCTATTTGGAAAAACTACACACTCGGATGCAGACATCGATGATAGGCAGCCTCTGCTTGCTCCGAACGAACAGATGGCGAATGCTGACGATTTCACGTCAACAAATAGTAAGGCATTAACCTACACTGAAATCAATTTAGGTGAGCAGTGCTTTCTATGCAGAAATTCGCTTTGTGGCTTTAGCGATGACACTGATGATGATATTTTTGCAGAACTGGATTTACATACATGCTCACTGCAACCAGAAGCAGAAGTCTCAAATCAATGCGACTCGTCTCTCATTTCTACAAGGAATAAGAGATTTTTAGGTCGGCTCGATGCGACAACATCCCGCAAGCCGTTCATCAAATCCAGCAAACGCGGGACTGCACGCAATTCAAAAGCATTTTCCCTCAAATTATACAATTTTGACGATGTGTCGAATCAGTCAGCCACAGACAACAACGAAATGAAACCTGAAATTTGCTCCGACTATTCAGAAAAAAATGCCCTCGCTCGCTTTAGGCAGAACGTTCCGTCGAACGGTCGTCGTGCGCGTAGTCTTGCACCTCTAAGCTATAAGCTATAACTTAGTAATTTGATGATTGTGTTTATAGTAGCCAAAGTTTTGAGCGTGAGTCATACCATGATATCTGTAAAGTTCCACCTGAAAGTACCTCAAGCAATCTGTTGAGCCAAAAAATATTTGGGCGGATCTAAGAAGCTACGTTTTCGTGAGAAGTGAACAAGGCATCTGTTGAGGCCTTACAGGGTAAAATTTAGCTTTTTTCATACCTAGAAATTATAACAACACAGTCTTCAAACTGCGTACTGTTACCATATCCGGATTAGTCCTTCTGAATTTGTATGCCCATTTCGAAGTACGTGATACCAACTTGTCAACGGAATATACCTTACACCGAGTTTGTCAGGTGTAAATGCTTCCGGGAGCTGTTGTGTATGCACAGTAAAGAGACTCGACATTTTGCCCAGGCTCAAGTTTGAATTAATTAAATATTTCATTGATGACTGCTCGTCACGCACCAAACACTAACTCCGAAATGAAAGTTTTAAAGCGTAAGGATGATTTATTTTATTTTTCGTTTTCCAGAAAAAAACGCGATCATTAGGTGATAGACTCGATGGGCTTCTTGCAAAACAATTTCGTCATGAGCGACGTGCGACCATCTCTTCCAACGAATGCCATGACTGTTAAGATTGTTTATTAGCTCTGCGCCGCAAACGCGAGATCTGGTCATCACTTCGGCTATACTTGGCAGCGCCCTAATAACGAAACGAGCGCAGCACAATCCGTTCAAGCTAGAATTTGGAGCGTTTCACATATTGAGCGACTCGTGAAATAGTTTTAATAGATTGACTCCAGCGGGGCTATGAAGTGCACGAATGTAGGGGTATAGTAACTTGCTTCCAACAAAATACGACACTCATTTTGTTCAACTAATAATTGGCTTCCTGAGTCCTTAAAGGGCTAGAAACCTGATACATTTGCATATACCAGATATATCTGCCAGACAAAGCAGACATTTCACAAGCTAACAAGTACCCCATCAAGACCAGGGGCCGTAGGTGTTTTCACTGGGCAGATGTATAATTCTATAATACAACCTGTGTAACGGGGTTACACGTACCCTGGTATGAAGGGTGACCATAAAAGGGTGTGAGTTACACAATCACACAACGATGTGGCTATACCTTAACAAGAAGTCAGTACGTGTCTGGACTACCAGTGGTTATGCATTTTTATAAGGTTTCCCTATTTATTTTGAGTTACATATAGATTGAGATATAGGCGCTTTGCCGCAAATAGAATTCACGAAATGCGGTTTACATTTTGAGCGGAAGAGTATATTTGCCTTGGGTCAAGGTTGTGGTTAAGCGGATTGTGATCTGCTACACTCGCACTGGTTCTAAGTATAGAACGAAGGTCACCGACCTTAGCTCAGCTTCCTCTAAGCGAAAGAGCCACGGCAGCCCCGCTGCACTTGGTAACACTTGTAGTCAATCTACACGTGAGTCGTTACGACTGATCCTCAGTTCTTCTATTTTCCCCAGGGCATACAGGACGGGTTTGAAAGTTGATGTATCTGCTTGACCCTGAGAGCGTGCAACACTTTGCTTCGCAAGGACCTGAAGCGATCCGCTCACCTTGAGTCGTTTTTGAGCTGAAAGAATGCTCTGCTAGAGCACCCACAGCAGATGATGTCGGCATCGATTGCGTTCATGAAGCCACCGTCGACGATGAATGAATCCTCCCGATCCCAGCCGCTCATGGTGAGAGTTAAGCCCTTCGAGGACAAGGATGGAGAGAATCTCCTTCTCTGGATGAGAGTGGCCGAGATAGCTGTATCGTCCGCCATGCTCCGGACCGAGCAACAGCGCGTGGCGCTAGCTATCTTCACGCTGAGCACTGCTCACGCTTTGAAGCAGTTGCTGCATATCAAGATTGACATGGTCGGACGAGGTCCGAGGCATCCTGGGCAAGGCCCTTCTGATGCGCGTGGAGTGGCACGTTGTCCACTGGACGAAGACCGCGAAAAAAACAGCTCTTCGTCTGATGCTGCTGAAAACATCAAGTCTCCGATGGAGTAGGGAGTAAAGACACTGGATGACGCCAAGTGCGTGATTCCACTGGTCTTGATGAGACATAAAACCTCTATAGAGAGGAGACAGCGAAGCCGTATGCTAGCTGCAAGACGCCGGGCGTCCACCATGACCCAGGATGTGTCCTACCGTAGACGACAGCACACAGCTATACACACTCGTCAACGGTGTGACGGAGGAGGAAGACGGCGTCGTCAACCTCGGAACTATTCCTGCGTTGGATGCTCTTCTTGAGCTGAACGAGATGTCCTTCGAAGAGTTTGGCAGTAATTTTAAATAGGCGACTTTGCCGAAGTGGCCATTATACGACCGACAGAGGAGATCAACTCGTCGTCGCTTCTAGATGAAGCTGACTTGAAGGACACCAAGAGGGTTCTGAACGCACGAAGTGAATCGTCGATCCTAAAGAATCTCTCGGATCCGTACTATTCTCTGGTGAAGGAATTTCAAGAACATCGTACACAAAAACCAACCGTCGGTTCTAGCGACGAGAGATGTGCATCATGAGATCGGTTTGCTTCCGGGAACCAAATACTGCGTAACACGCTGATTGCCCTATCTTTGGCGCCGAAGAAATTAAGGGTTCTTCATCTGGAAGCGTGGCCTTCGAGCGGATCCAGCTAAGGTCAAGACCACTGTGGACTGACCGGCTCCGAAGAACCAAAAGGACTTGCGCAAGTGGCTTGGCCTTGCCAAATACATGTACAAGTACAGCAAAAACTACGCAGGAATGGCACGACCATTATCGAATCTTCTAAAGAAGGATGCAAATTGGTGATGTGACACAGAGCTGCGGGAGGCTTTTGATGGGGTCAAAGACAGCTTCCTGCATACATCAATATTTTCGGCGTTGCCAGACCCTGATCGTCCATTCAGTGTTGGCTGTGACGCTTCGACTGTGCACTGCTGCAAGCAGACGCTGAGGGGCGAGATCGGGTGATCGCGTTCGTTTTTTGCCCGCTTAAGGCTGCAGAGAAGAACTCCCCCCAGTTTAAGACAAGGAATTCTTTGCGATGAAATATGCACATGTCATTTTCCTTGGATCCAAGCCGTTCGTGACCTACACAGATCATGCGTCACTACGCACTGCGGCTCAATCGCCTTTCCTCTGGTAGGATGGCCAGGTGGCTCTCAACTTCGCAGAATATCATTTTGAGGCGAAGTATAAGCCAGGAAGGCAGAATGCTTTGGTTGATGCGTTGTCCCGCATACCGGATTGTGAGCTTGCTCATGTCACGACAGTGACGTCGTCAGTGACGGATTTGATCCGCCCCGCATACGCGGGTGATGATATGTACGAAGCGCTGCTACGAGCTTACGAGAGCATGGAGTTTGGAAATACGGACAAAGTTGTCGTCACGACTGCGAGCACGGTTGCACCAATATTCATTTTATAACCTGTTGCTGTGTTGTAGTACTGACTCGGCGGATCACCCACGAATTGTGGTTCCTCACGATAAGGATTTGAGTTACTGTACCCTCTATGAGGCTCATGATACTCCACGCAGTGGTCATCTCGGTCGTGAGAATATCTACAGCTTTGTGAGTTGCCACTAGCGGTGGCCCAAGGTATACAAACGGACGGACATGTGAGACGTACCAAAGGGTGATTCCCTTTCCGAATGTGGTGGCGGCGCTTCTGGCCAGTTTGCCGGTACCCTCCGGGTATCGGCAGTTCATGAGTGTAGACTTTGTGTTTGGCCTGCCGAAGGACTCAGCGGGCAACACGGGTCTGATGGTCTTCGTCGACCATTTGAACAAGATTGCTCATCTCGCGGCAGTGCCGGACACCATCGACGATGTGGGTACAGCGACGCTGTTTTTGGATCCTGTTTTTAGACAGCATGGACTCTCGGGGTCAATTGTCTCTAACAGAGACCCACGCTTTACCGGGAAGTTTTGGTCGACGATCTTCAAGGTGCTTGGCACAAAGTTGGATATGTCAGCAGCGGACCATCCATGTCGTCCTTCGCAGCGTCTGCGCTGAGGCGCAGGAGCGCCATGTTGCCATTGGTAAAGTTCGCTCTGAACAATTAGCGCATTCGTCTATCGGCCACATGCCGTCCTACGTGAACGGTCTCGTTTATTATCGCGCCCCGCTGACGCCGCCATCCCATGGCTCAAGGCTTGGTGGGGTCGGAATAGCCGAGCGGCTTGCTGATGTCAGCCCCCCACTTTTCGTAAAGAAGTTGATGAATTCCTGTCTACTAGACTGAGTGTATTACGATACGTTAACGATTTGATGGCTGAAAGCCAAGACATGCCGAAAGAATATGCAGACGAAATGCTTAAAAATTTTCCGGTCGGAGACCTGGCTTTTTTATCAAATGTGAAAAGCCTTCCTACACATGCAACTTCTGCTGTCTTTAAGACAAAGCTTCGCCCACGATTCATCAGAGCATTCTAGGTCGTGGTGTGGGAAGCGGGGCCTTGCGTATACGCCAAACCTTCATAAACAGATGGGCACCTACCCGATGTTTAATGTGGGCTTGCTCAAGTCGTACCGGGATTCAGCGCAAGTAAAAGCGGAAGCGTTAGAACCGGAGCGGCACCCACAGGCACTCGCCAACCTAGAAGCTGGACCAGCGACTGGTTTTGAGCACGGAGTTCAATAATCTTCATCTCGACGGCGCCAAGCGCCCCACCTTCGCATGAAGTGACGCATTTGCCTGCTCAACAGCTAGGAGCCGCTCCGATAGAGCTACACTTAATCACGTTTACTTAGAGGAACATCCAATTATTTTGATAGATCAAGACGATTTCTTCATTCCCGCGAATCGCAACATGAGTCAATCCTGAAGATGGCAAGCATTTCGGGGTCTGCAGCCTTTAAAAGATTGGCGGTATCCTTCTGGTTTTATTCGTGGAAGTGCTTGGTTGGGATAATTGTTAGACGATTTGTCTCGTCAGGGGCTCGCTTGGGGCAATATACCAGATCCCAATGCAGCTTAAGCCTTGAAGGCATCGCTTCCATGAAGGATGGGAAGTTTAAAAGCAACCACTTGTCAGCTCGTGAATTGGAGTCTATCAGGTAGGCGACTTTGTTTTTTGCTCAGCGTTGGTTTTTTTCGTTTTCATTTCAGTGGTCTGGTGAAGAGTTGGGCTTACTCGTATGAAGCGATGGCGCGTGTATGTCTTACATCCTGATCACAGCTATATCAGGAGCTGCGCTCTACCTTCGTACAGGCTATCTATAAGTTCACCAGCGCTTGCGTATCTTTCCGTGCAAGTAATGAAGGCTCGAACTGAATGAGTGTTTTTATGGAACCTGCGGATTGACGACAAATTCTCCTTCTAGATACGTCAAGATGAAATGCTCGCGGATGACCGAGCAGTAGGCCCGACTCGCCAAAAAGCTATTTCAGATGCAAGTCTGGACGTCAGAGGCCTTCATATCGCGCCCTGGAAGGAGTACCGCTACAAGCAAGTTCGTATTATGTTTGCTTAAGCTATGACATAGACACACAATTCCTAGAAATGCCCACGGCAACAACAATTCAACTGACGCCAGTCCAACGACAAGAGCTCTAGTGTGACCAAACCAAAATAATGTGATGCTATGATTGCATTAATCATACCGACATTGCATATCAACAAAATTACAATCGAGTTTCTCGAATAGCAAGAGCGGTTAAGGAGGCTAAAGAATGTGCTTTTTAATTGGGCAAGGGGTTTGGCACTCCGCCTCTAGGAGAATACTCTAAACTGAGTAAATGAGCTCCAGAAAGCAGACTTAAAGCTTCATGTGTGTAGGTAATCAACTTTCACACCGAGTCATGGGTGAGAATGACGTGTCACGTCAAGTCACGCAAGCTACAACTACGAAGAGGCAACAGGGACGCTTCTTTTGTAAGTCATATAACTCCACACGGTCTTTTGATACGAGGTTGCCACGACACGCCACACAGACTAGGATAGGTTGGATGAAAGCAAGCGCTGCTTCCTGTAAAGGCAATATAGTTCTACACATACTGTACCGTAAAAGTGGAGACGCCACGATAGGCCGCTCATACCATATCTGACATGTATGCACTTCCTCTGTGAGCGTCAAGACCCTACACCAGGCGAGACAACACGATTTCATAGAAGATCGAAAAAAACAACGAAGGACCGCACAAGACCTTGATAAAAAAAGCGTTCTCGCCAAGAGAGTTATCGTGGGATGGGACCAAGACAGCCGGTACTTGATCTTGTGCGAAATAGACAGTACGTTCCCGTGAGGGAAGGCCGTTTGCCCTACGAACGTTGGTCATTTACACTTAGGGGGCATATTGTGTCCTGTAAACCAATCGGAAATCATGTGATCCGTGATTTCATGAGGGAGACGAACCAGATAAACGTTGTAACGAGAACCGTGCTTCAAGAAGCGTGCGATTTGGATTCATGAGCCAAAAGCATTGAGCCTAAGCAAGTTGAGCTTGGAGGCAGTGTCATATGATATGCACGTAAAACGAAACCCCGCAATTGTAATCAGCTTAAAATCCTGAAGGAGACGAGCCTGTCTTTCCACAGTTGTGTTTGGTCGTCTTTTGCCAGTTCATCGAACACCTCAGCAAGGTGATTACGCTTTTTTGCGTGGGGACAAGGAATCCAGATTCGATGTAGCACTACAGAAATAAATTGCGTATGAGCTAGTTTTAGTGCATTAAGACGGAAAGCGTCAAAATTACAGAGATCAATTTCAGACTCACTCACTTCGAGCAAAGAGTTCACCGGTTGCTGACGGGGAAACTCAGAGCCGCGAGTCATGTGGCGTGGCTTAACCATAACTTCTGTCGCACAGAGTTAGTATCGTCCTCGCAGGTGACTGTCTGCAGTAAGAGGTGCAAACTTATACTCTGAGAGTCTCTACTGTAAGCCGTGAAGGGCTAGGTGTACATCGATACACGGCGCAATACAATTGCAGTTCTATAACTTAAGAGCCTCGTAGGTTGTAAACCTCTTCAATGGCAGTTCTTACGGCCTCTCAACGAGCTGCAGTCAGCAGAAGGTTTCAGACAACAACGAGAACTTTAGAGATGCGGTGATTGACAGTTATTAATGCGAATGCAGAAGAGGTTTTGTCACGGAATTAAATAACGGGGAACTCAGCGAGTTGTGGTGGTAGCTACACCGATTTGGTGGCTGCAAGGCGAGCGCAACGAAAACGGATCGAAGAGATAGGTCGTAGCGAAGCGGATGGCTTGGGGTGGAGGGACAAAAAACAAACGAGGCTTGAACGGTGTTGTAAGGGGAATGGCTTTTTTCTGAACGATTGTACAGAAGAAGACTAAATGGTGAGCTGATGTGTACATCAGCAATAAATTCAGAATCGAGTTAAGTAGATGAATTGATCGCATATCAAGAACTTCTGCGATTTTAAACTTATATTTGGCAAGATTGCCGTGTCGTTACAGATGCTTTTAAATCCGAACACCCATTTTTGGAAAGCACAAAGCCGTGAAGCTCAACGCACTTTTCACTAGGGATTGAGGTCCGGTCTTGTTCCGAGTTTGAGGCTTGACCAGTAGCTGAACAAACATATGGGCAAGGCCGTTGAGATGACGATGGCCGCCTCAGCGTCGTGCATTGTGCATTGTACTTTGCGAATCGAGTATTACGCAACATCCGTACAGTCTCCTGCTTCTGCACAAAAGGGGGAGAAAATGGTGATCAGCAAGCCAGCAATCATATATATATATATATCTTCAAGATCTCGTCCAGAAAGTAGTCAACCACCCAGTCTTTGGCTGAGCAAACAAAATCTATTAGCCTGACATGCACGTCCTTGAAGAAACTGCCTTTTGCGCCGGTAGATGTCGCTTAACCTGCGGATAGTTTTCGTGCGTTTCGTTTATTATAGATGCAAAGTGGAGACAGTATAGTGTTGTATCCTTTGGCGATGTACGACGTCATCCGCGATCAGCGCCATCTTTTGCCTCTCAATACCCTGGCTTGAGTGGTTTGTAGCTTGGTCTGGGACCGGGAGGTTCCTGGTTCGATACCCATAAGATCCTAATCAAGGAGGCCGGGGATAGTTCACTAAAGTGGACGATTGATTAAACCCCTGTGGCGTGACTGCCCTGCCAACCCGCGCCCAATTGGGTGTGTGATAGTTGGGTGGAAGGAATTCCTACTGACCGAAAAAGCCCCATAGTGTAATGAGGGGTACGGAACCCGGTCCCGAAATGTGTCGGATAGCTACCAGCATCCCGCGCTAGTGAAAGCTTAATCCTAGCGTGTGGATTCCGATAGCTAAAATCTCTATGGAAATAAAAAACAGTACTGGAGTGAAGAAGTAGCTCGATTAATCTGTTCAAACATCTTATTCCGTGGCTACCATACAACAGATCATTTTCGTCGTCCATACGCCACAGCTCTTCTTGGAGACTCGGGTACTTTGCCGAATTTTACTCAACATGCTTTTTGATCGGCTTCGTTCGCTACAGACAATATTTTTTTAACATGAAGTTATAAAGAAAATCCAACATTTTTTCTATCGCAATATCAAGTGAGCACACTCACGACGTATCGTTGCTGCCATACACTGGTATTCGTGCATATTCTCTTTTATATCGATCGCTTACGTGCGACGCAATAAAATTTCATTGTATAGATGACGTTGCGCTCGTGCTTTATCCACTCAGCGGTATGAAGATTTTTTTTATATTGTCTGCATCTAGATAGCAGTCCCAGCGCGTTCGGCGCCTTCACAACCACGATGAGCTCACCTCTTTTTGTTGCACCCTGCGACTCGGTCAGCAAATTTACCTAAACATTGACCTTTCCTGTCATCATACGACTTTACGTTAGCGTAATACAAAGGCTGGGTTAACCCTAATACGGCCGATGCACTACCATCAGCGATGACGAATGTGATTTGAACCTTACAGGCCAGCTCACGCTAAATTATCGCGTCGTTGCTTAGAGTGATCGGCGAAGCGAGGAGTCTATGTGCTTCACTAATACTAAAGAACATGCAGGCAAAGCCGAAAGAATGTACATTTGCACTTGATTTGTTTTCAAGTGCTACGGAGGCGATCCAAGTGCTAATAAAACAATCATTACCCAGGTTTTAGTTAGTTGTAGTGATCCACATTTTAAAGCCTTCCTCAAATTGCTTATAATGGTACTGCGCTAGCATTGCTTAGTCCTGATGTGGAGCTGTTTTACTAAAATGATTTAGACAGTGAATGTAGTATAAGACCAAGGCTTTCATTTACTTTTGTTCCTGGCACACTTTCGAGGTATTGTAGTTAATTAGTCGTAAAAGGTCATTACTTCAAAAAATTCAAGCGACCCAATCCTTGAGCTATGTCTATCATACTGTATTCGGGTAAAAAAAACGCGAAGTCAAAAGTACCACTTGGAAAATTTTGCATGTTTGACTAAATATTATAATGTTCATTTTTATGCTACAATCAACCAAAACTAACAGAGCAAGCTAATTGTATAGCGAATGGTATGTCTAGGGTTTGTAGAGTGGCCTCTGTGTATCTTACAAGCAAAAGCAAGAGTTGATCAAGTATCGGTGCATCAATCGATTGGAAAAATGGACTCGGCATCTTTTGTTGAAATAAAACATAAATTTATCTTTGACGGAGCGAATAGTGAATTTTCATACCGGTAAATTAGAGAATATGATTAATATCTTAATTTTCTAGAACGCTCTCGAAAGTCTCGATTTGCTTCAAGTTTCCTTTTGTTAGCTCCTCACAATACGACTTGGCAAGCCAAAGGAAAGAGTCAATATTTACCCATGGCTTCTTTAGCTGCATCGGCTACGTCGGTTACGGAGACAATCAAAGTGACGATTAAGAGCGACGTCGTTGCTTTTACGCTTGAAACGACTCCCCATGAAACTGTGGCGGGTGTCAAAGCTGCATACCAGGCAAACAGGGAGAATGCAAATTATATTTTGTTATTGCACAAAGGCAAGGAGCTGCCTGATGAGAAGACGCTCGCTGAATTAGGCATTACGGATGGGGATGTGCTCGTACACATTGAGGCAGCTCATCAGCCTTTTCAGCCGCTTAATTACAAGTTACTGGCTGAGAGCATCAGAAATCGCAGAAAACATGAAGATTCGAACATGCAGATGCTTAAAGAAGGTAAAAGTTTATTTTGGAGTTGGCAATTTATGAAATCGATACTTAATTGCGATACGAATGGTATTGTAGACAACATATGGGCTGCTGGATCCGATGGCACGGTGCATCGTCTAGGAATGGAAAAGAGCATTATCTCGCGCTCATTAAATGGCAGTGTACCACCGCCATTTAATCATAAAAAGGCTAGCAAAGGACGAGCTTTTTTCAATCAATTATCTGTGCGCGTTAATGGCTGCAGCTACCATGTGCTGCCCAGTATGGAAGGCCGCTGGAATGGAGAGCTAACGACCATCCCGCCACAAGAAGAAGGTAGCCAAGTTTGCTCAAATGATCTCTTGTTCCGCGATGATGAATGCGTGTGGAGCCAGCGTCAGTCGAGGACGACTATGAGTGGTTTGACGTCCATGCAACACATGTGGATCAAGCCAGTATCTGACGGCATTCTTAAGATTGAGACGGACGACCCGTTGCTACGTGGCTCTGACATCACAATGCAGGAACTTGGGACAAACGTCCTTATTATTACGGCTACCTCCAAGCGTTCAGGTATAAGCATTTATAATGCATAGATCTTGGAACAAGGACTAATGTTTAATATCTGGCAGGTCGACCGTTGATGGTGGAAACGATCACAGGAATCGATAGCTCGAGACGTCTACGTACTATCCAACGCTTTGACGAATCGGGTGCATTTCGATCGGTTTATGTAATGAATGAAGTCAGAGTTGTCGATGCAGTGTCGGGTGCCATGGAAAAGTATGATAATGTCTTTTGAGGCTTCCAAATTAGTTAAGTGAAATAGTGTGAATATTTTCATAACTATCACCTGGATGTCTCCTTTATAGCATTACGACTCTAAATTTAATACATTCTTCACCTTACACAGAACGTGATCATAGTTTATGCTTTACCGTCTAGAATTTCCCAAGACGCACGTTCAAACCAAAGTGTGAGAGGTCGTGGGACACTGTTGACTATTTCTGCTACAGTGTTCGGCGTCATGCCTGAAACGATATTAGTCTCGTTAATACGCACTAAGACATCACCGATAAACACCTTGCCACTCAACTCCACTTCACCAGGTTTACCAAATTCGTCTAATACGAAAGAGGTGACGGCGATCAATGTCCCCTGAATACCTAGTGTCAAACATAATCGGCTCCGAGAAACCTTGACGAATACGAGACCAACGTTTGATTTTACTTCGTCTGGCTCCTTTGCTGCAGTTTCAATCTGTTCCACTGAACGCGTTGTCGCTTCGAAATCTACGTTAAAATCATTTGGCGACAAGAAAGACATCGGTTGGGATTTGTCTATCGACTCAAATTCAGTCCGTTTATCAACCAATGTACTTGACGACAGAAATGACGTTGTACCCGATGCGTTTTCTATCTCCGTAGTTTCTGGCGTACCACATGATGACAACAACGAACTGTTCGGAACTAACTCTTTCAGCAAACCCTTAGAAGATAAAGAGTGTCTTGTCGTCAACTCTGCTGTCGATGCGATGTTATCCGTTGTACGTGCTCTTGAACCCGATGTTGGTGATGAAGCGACCGGTCTACTGGTATCTTCACTTATAACACTATTTGTAGTGTTCTGAACACTTGTTGCTGCTTGTTTCGGATGTCGAGATGAAGCTAAGTTGTGATGCTGACCATCTTGCGATACGCTTTGCTGTACTACATTCATCGTAGTATCCGTCGTCGTGGTCTGTGGAGACTGCGTGAGATCATAAGTATTACCTGTGGTAGCCACTGAATTGCGATGGGTCAGCGATTGCTGTAGAGTTTCGTTGTTGATTGAGGTAATGCCTTGTCGTTGATTGCCTCCCATGGCTTGTGCTGCAGCTCCAAACGGCTGAAACATTGGTTTCGCAGGTTGAATGCCTGACACAGGCAAACCCGAAGCCGCTGTGTTAGTAAAAGTCGGTACAAAGTGATGCGGATGAGTGAGATGTACACTGATGGGGACTGGTACGCGTGCACTATCAGCGGCTTGTCTTGCTAATATATTCTGCCTCACTCGTTCCCAAATATACTCCTTAGTCAATAGCTGCTGTGACGACTGAGTCCATTGCTGAGCATCCATTCGACTCACTGGTACTTGGTTTGCTAACGCTTGTTCAGGAGTAACAAATGAAAGTGCAGGCGCTTGCGAAACGTTTGGCAACAGTGGCGCATGATGTTGCGTCTGCAGTGATGTTGTCGTCGATACATCACTAGATGCTGCAAATAAATGTTCTTCTTGATCCTCTTGTGGTAGCTGGTTCGAAAGCTGAGGTCGATACAAAATCAACTTGATAGGGCGTTTGGGCTTTCTAATCAGTTCTGCAAGCTCTCGACTTGGCATACCCAGCACCCGAATTTCGTTCACAGCTAAAATCATGTCTCCGATTTTTACTTGTCCCGTGGCTTCCATCTCACCTATTTGTCCATCCTCTGTCTTAAGAAACTCTTTCACAAATGTCTCGTTCTTCTTATTGGTGTAAATGGATGCGTAGAGTCTCTGGCCCCATAAATTCACTTGGCGAACGTTACTCGCTGAATTGTAAACTCCATCGTCTCGTTTTCGCTTGAGTTTATGCAATCTCATCGTAGGAAAATAGTCTTTCTCTTCTGTATCTGAGTTACTTTGCTTATTTTTATGTTGAGGATTCTCTTTCGCATGTGTTTTAGCTGCTTCTGCGTCTCGCATCACTTCATCGGCTGGTAAAATATCCACATCTCCATCGTCAAAGCTCACTTTGTAAAATAGCCCACCCGAGACCCAATAGCAGTCCACCACAGTGCCCCAAAATGCGCGTGAGCCAAAGCTCACACGCAAGCGCACTCCTATAAGAACATCTTTCTCCAAGTTAACAACATTTGCCTGGCCATGTAAGGGTCCATCAAAGAACGTTTACTAGTGAAGGATTCGAGAAATAAGGACAAACCTGTTGAGCAGGCTTGGTAGGCGTCTGTGTGTCTACCATCTAAGAGGCTGGTGGAAATTTCGTGACATTTATTGGATCAAATAATAGCAGTGTATATTCATCTATTTATGATTTAATCAGATAGCCATCACACTCCAAATATTGTGCTTATCTATTTAAAAAATTGCATTTCAGCTAGTGTCGCATTTTCTTGGGTATTCAAGTACGCAAAACGTGTATGTTCCATTTTACATACAGGATAAACGACGTATGAAGGACCAAAGAGCGATGGATATTTCATGGAGAGACGGCTATGTTCAAAATTATACAAGAGCGCTGGAAAAACTTCAATATCTCGATCAAGCGTTTTTCGAGACCCTTGACGGCGTGAAGTACTTCATCCATATTAAATCGATTAAAGCTCGCTCATATTGCGCTGTACTCAAGAAATACAACTGTCCGCATTGTCCGATTAACGCTATCAAGTTTGATCATGCGTTTCTTTCGCATTCTGAGTGCCCTAACAAGTTCTCCAAGCAGCTAAGACGCATGATTGCGAAACTGGACAT